TAGAAAGAATTCCGTCTAGGTTGAATAAGCAACCTAGACAGAATTCTATCTAGGTTGCATTTTTCGTCTCGTTTGTCAAACTAGACGAAATTTTCCGTCTAGTTTGACCCAATCTAGACGGATCAACCTTGACGAAAAATTTCCATGTAGTTTGATTCAACCTAGACGGAAATTTTTTCTGTCTAGGTTGTTTCCTCTAGATTGGTTGTTTTTCTACTAGTGCGTGTACACAACAAATGTCTTGTCACTGCTCGGAATAGTGAGAACTGGCGCCGTGGTTAACTTAGTCTTCAAGGTATCAAAGGCCTTCTGGCACTCCATACTCTAAGTAAAATGTACACCTTTCTTCGTAAGGCGTGTAAGTGGCATCATAATCATCGAGAAGTCTTGAATAAACTTCCTGTAATATCCGACCAATCCCAAAAAGCTACGAATCTCGGTTATCATCGTCGGCAGTTCTTAATCATGCACTGCTGAAACCTTAGCTGGGTCTATCGCTATGCCCTCTCTGCTGACAATATGGACAAAAAATATGACCTCAGAAATCCAAAACTCACACTTGCTGAACTTAGCATATAGCTGATGTTCACGCAAGGTCTGTAAAGCCAAACATAGATGCTGCTCATGCTCCGACTCCGATCTCGAATAGATAAAAATATCATCAATGAACACAATCACGAACTGGTCCAAAAATGGACGGAAGTCCCGGTTCATCAAATCCATGAATACCACGGGTGTATTGGTCAACCCAAATGGCATAACCAAAAACTCGAAGGACCCATATCGAGTCAGAAAGGCGGTCTTAGGAATATCCATCTCCTGGACCCGCAACTGATGATAACTAGAATAAAGATCAATCTTTGAGAAACACTACACTCCCTGCAGCTGATCGAACAAGTCATCAATCTGAGGAAAAGGATATCTATTCCGGATAATGACCTTGTTCAACTCACGGTAGTTGATACTCAATCGTATACTACCATCCTACTTCTTCACGAAAAGGGCCTGCGCTTCCCACGGAGAATGACTCCGACAAATAAAGCTCTGAGCTAACAACTCATCTAATTGGGTCTGTAGCTCCCTCATCTCAGCAGGTGCCATGCGATAGGGTGCTCGGGATATCGGGGCTGTGCCCGGCTACAACTCAATACAGAACTCAACCTCTCTCACAGGAGGTAACCTAGGTATGTCCTGAAAGACATCCTAAAAATCTGAGACAACTCTAGTCTCGCATATATCCACACTCTAATCCCGAAGCATCACCTCCTCGATGTACGCCAGCAATGACTCCACAAATTGGTTCCCCTGAGAGGTTGCCACAACTAACTCGGACCCATCAGACGCTCGCAACTTGACTCTTTTTGTAAAACAGTCGATACTGACGTGGTAGGAAGATAGCCAATCCGTATCAAGAATAACATCAAACTCTGACATGCTCAACACTATCAAGTCAATAACAAACTCAGACTCATCTAAACTGATGAAACACCTCCTACAAATGTTCTCCAAGAGCGACATCTCACCTAGAGGGGTGGAAACTTATAAAGAAATATCTAGAGGCTGAGCTACGGGCTGAAGTCTACTCATAAAAGCATAAGATATGAAAGAGTGAGAAGCTCCTGAATCAAAAAGAATACGGGCTGGAAAAGAGTTCACGGAGAACATACCCTCCACTACGGCCCCGTTCACCCCATGATCACGAGGGACTACTACATAGACTCTACCGGTGGCCTAAACTTGCTCCGCGGCTGGAGGTGGAGCATATGGAACTACCTATCCATGAGGGATCTCCTGAACTACACGAACCTACCCCTCAATCTTTGGTACTATTGGCGGTGCCTTTAGTCTCGCCTGCTAGCCCTGACCTCGGCCCTGAAATTTGTTCTGTTGCTGATTCTGCCCTCTCCATTACTGGGCTCCTGCTGGCGCACTGCGGCATTCTGATGCTCTATGCCCAATCTTACGACAGTTACAACATGCGCCCTGAAACTTGCACTGCAGAGACGCTCTCTGATCATGCTGAGGTCCTCTCCTATGAGGGCCTAGCTGCTGCTACTGCTGGGGACCTGAGAATGGCCTCTTATTCTTGCCCTTTTCCTTGCTGTTTCTCTCCTTGTCCTTCTGGAACATGGCTGACTCATTCTATTGAGAGATGACAGCATTTGCTACCTCTCGAACCGAATAAAACCTCC